GGCCTCTTGGATAGCTTTCCGACCACAAGTGGCATTCGTCTGGATTGTTCGCTTTTCCCATTCTTGTTCAATTTCATCGTGGATCCTATCATGGAGTGTTCTCTCGAGGAATCTCATGATGTAGGCGTTGAAGTGCTGCCGGGTGAAAGCTTAGTTGATCTATACCATTTTCCATTGAAGTTGGACATTCGGGAAAAACATTTACGCCTGGGGTTCAACGGGGTTGCTCCTCCGGGGCAATCAAGTTGAGTCTTCCTTATGCGGAATAGAACCACTCACTGGCATGGTAGGGGCTGTTTCATTGGCCAAGCGCCTTCAACAAATAGGACCTCAGACGCTTGGCCAATGATACAGCCCCTACCATGCCAGTGAGTGGTTCTATTCCGCATAAGGAAGACTCAACTTGATTGCCCCGGAGGAGCAACCCCGTTGAACCCCAGGCGTAAATGTTTTGCCCGAACGTCCAACTTCAATGGAAAATGGTATAGATTATGCGGACGATATCCTCTTGCTTTCCGACCATGTTGGGGCGGCACAATCAACCCTGAATAGCCTGTGCAGAGTGGTCCCATTATTTGGCATGCACTTCGCACCTTCAAAGTGCAAAGTGTTGCTGCAGGACCACCAACCACTTGATGACCCCATGGCCCTTGCTAACGAGGAACTTGAGGTGGTTGATCATTTCACTTAACTTGTCAACTGCATCAGCAACGATGGGCGCATATAAACTGAGGTCAGTTCACGCATTTCAAAAGCCAGAACTGCCTTACTGTACCTGCGGCATCTTTGGCGACAGAAGGGAGTTTCCCTTCGTCTAAAAAATCATATATAAAAGGCCACAGTGAGGGCGTTCTGCTCGATGGTAGTGAAACTTGGCCCCTTCGGTCTGAAGACCTGAGGCGCCTTCAAGTCTTTGATCATCGTTGTCTGCGAAGCATTGCTGGTGTCGGATGGCACAAGCGTCTCCGCAACGATGGTGGGCGTAGGCAAGCACTAGGTGGTGATAATCATGCCAGCTCCCTAGAACAACAGATAGCACTGAATATGTTGCGTGGGCTCAGGCACATGCTACGTATGCCTGGTCACCGCTCACCTAGGAGGGTTTTGTTCAGTCTGCCAGATGTAGGGTGGCGCAAGGCTCGCGGTGGACAGAAGTTGAGTTGATAGCGGGAATTAAAGTCACTGACGACCAAACTGGGTACCGTTGATCCGTCTAGCCTTCCGGCCTGAAGTCCAGGTGACTCTCCATTACAAATTGTGCATTTGTACACCGCGCTTGGCACGTTCATCATCATCATCATCAACAGCAGTGCATCAGCCATTTGAACTGATGCTTCGCTGCCATACAACCATGAGGACCTATGAAATGAAGAATAAGAAGAGGGAGAGAAGGGGGACTTATCTGAAAACCTTAATGCCCCAAGCAAACATTCAGGGTCAAGGCGCCTACACCTTGTGTTAACAACATACCGTCACAAACAGCTGGCTATCGTGCAAAGATAAGGCGGCATCGGCGAGACAGCTTCCTTGCGGCTTTCACTGCCACGCGTCATAATCAGCCATTACCCCGCAGATAACTCAGCACCAAACACACTCTAAACAGGCCATCCGATTAGGAGACGGTAGCAGACGCGCCACTGGTGTCTACTGCGAGCCATAGCCTGTAAAGTCTCGAGCCAAGCACAAGGCAACAGTGCAAGCAGGTAAAATCATGAGTTGTCTCTGTTGGTGTGAAAGCACCACTCCCGCGCAACGATCTACTGGGCCCGCTTCAAGCCTGAATGCTTAATCTAAAAAACAGAAAAACATAAAAGGTCTGTCGGTTATGATTACAGGTAGAACACAGACTTAGTGTTTAAGGGAGGTAATGTAATCTCAACAGTCAAGCAACTAGATATAGAGAGAAAAAAAGCCATGGAGATTAGAAGATAAGGGGAAGTCACTGCGTCATAGTCAGCGTGGCATGTTAGTTGAAGGTGAGCAACACACTTCAGCTAATATGCCGCAGGAAGAACGGAACATTTTGACAAAAAGTAGAACAAAACACTTTTAGTTTGTTTTTCACACGCCGCTTTTGCTCTTTTTTGTCATTTTCAATGTTTGTAGTATTAAACATGTGAATCAATACAACACTGTACACAATTCTTCCACTGATTCCGGTTGCGGGCCATATCCTCAAGAGTGCTAAGCCATTGGCACTCCTCATCTTTGGGTCCCCACCCTGGAAGACGTACGGATCCAACAGCGGCTAAACACGACGTCAGCGATTTCATTTGCTGCCGCCAAGTGGAAGACTGACCACCACACGGTCGCTTCCAGCCAGGTCCATGACGAGCGAATAGAGCGCGATGCGGTAGACGCTCAGGCGCCATGCGTAGGACGTGAACGAGCCATCTCAACTGGCGCAACAAAACCAGTTTGTTGAAGGGAATACTCGCATTCCCCAAGATGCGACGTCGAACGTCATTACTATTTACTCGATGTTGCCACCAAACATGAGCGATCCTCTTTAAGCAATCGTTATCGAACGCAGAAAGACGACACATGTCTTCCACGCGAATCGGCTAGGACTCGCACCCATGCAACAATACTGAGCCAACTGCTGCGCTGTAAACGCGGCCTTTTAGCAAGAATGAGACGTCACGACGACGCTACAAGTGCCTCAGAGTGACAAATGCTGATCGAGCTTTAGCGATACGAAGTGAAACTTCTTTGTTGATAGTGCCGTCAGCAGAAATACAGCTCCCAAAGTAGACGAAACTATCTACCTGTTCAAGTTGTGCACCTTCGAGAGTGAGCACGGGAGCAGGTGAAAGTCAATCCTTGAGCAGTACTTTACACTTCGATAGGGCGAAACTCATTCCATACTTAGATGCTTCAACCGCCAAACGATCCAGAATGAGTAGCATACCTTGAGGATCGTCACCAAGTAAGGCGATATCATCAGCATAATCTAAATCGGTCGCGCGCCTGTGTTAATTATGAATCGCACCGCCGTTGTGTACTGACGATAGTAGAAGATTTATAATGCCCGGATAGCAGCACCGGCGGAGTAGTGCCCATGCAGGTAAGAACACCGAAGTAAACAACATGGAAGCACCATATATTGTAGGGTGACAGACTGGTGCAAAGGTTGATCAGCTGTCGAAGTCGATTCGCCTATGTTGGTCCAATTAGGTACTCAGCACGCCGGGCGCCTATGAGTACGACGCCTAGGCTGGTGAACTCTCAAAGTGGCTGGTAAACGAATCAGCAAGGGAGTCTAGAGAAACTTACGCCATACAGTGGGTGCATGTCGTCACTCTAAGTAGGGTTTTCGGAATAGACCAAATCAAGTGTTAGATGTCAAATCGGATATGGCGATATCACAGAGTAGGTGAGGCTCCAGAAATCGGTATCATCATCGTTATCATTATACACATTAGCTAGAAGTAGAAAACACCGCAGCTACTGTGCCGCAATACATAAAAGAAAAAATGAAAAAAACATGCCACAGATGCATGCAAGCTGAGCTACCAGTAACGGATGGGCATCGTTCCGGAAAGCTACCAGCCGGCTACTGGGCAACAAAAAATAACTATGTAAAATTTTATTATGCTACGAAATGAAATCGTGGTTGGAGAGGAGACTAAAACTGGGAGGGACTAAGAAACTCACAGCATGAATGTCACTGAGGTAGGCAAGTGTATCCATCCAACCGAGTTCATCGTCTTTCGCACTCCAATCAGGGAGCCGAGACGGTCCCACCTAGGCCAGCTACGAAGTGAGGGCTTTCATCCCACTCGACCAAGTCATCGCTTGGTCGGCTCTCCTGTTCTTCCATCCACACCCCAAAGAGCGCAAACAACGCACGTCGCGGCAACCAGTGGGCTGGCATGCGTGACCCAGTCATCTGAGCCTGGTGTGTGGAATAGCGGTGCTGAGGGGTTCATTTCCTTTCCCTGTGTCGCAAATAGGGTGTCGAACAGGCTCGTCGCTCACGCGCTGTTCCCACCAGATGTGAGCCAAACTGCAAAAGCACCGGTAGTCGAACGTTACTAGCCTGTTCATGTCGGCTGATCTAAGGAGCCAGTTTTCACCCTGCACTCAGCACTTAATTTTTGACTCTTAAGTGAGCTTCCTGACGATTTTTACTCAAGTTTATTTCTCTTTGGCGTTTGCGCGATATCTTCCTCTCCTTGAAGGATAGAGTTTAAAATGCAGCGGTACGTTCAACACTACCTGACCCATTAGATGGACAGACGTAAGAAGGCCATTTAGGTTCGATCACCGGTGCCTTCGCAGTTTGGCTCACATCTGGTGAGAACAGTGTGAGCAATGAACGTGTTCGGCGCCTTGTTTATGGCACAGGGAGAAGTGAGCAGCTCAACATCGTTATTTCACGTACCAGGATCCGATGGCTCGGCCACGTATTGCGCATGCCAGCCCACTGATTCTCGCGACGTGCGTTGTTTGCACGCCGGGGGGTGTGGATGGAAGAAGAGGAGAGATGGCCAAGCGATGGCATGGTTAAGAGGGATGAAGGTCCTTACTTCGAAATTGACCTCGGTTGGAGTCCGAAAGATGATGAACACGTTTGGCTGGATACACTTGCTGATATGGCTAGGAGCCGACCTTAGTGGCGTTTGTGTTGTGAGTTTCTTAGCTGCACCCCCTCCAACCACGATCTCATTGCGAACACATGACGTTTTGCGGTATATAGCCGGTTCTTAGCTCTCCGGAACGATGTTTATCCGTCACTGGTGGCCCAACAGCTTAGGTGTTTCACATTTCTGGCTAATGTGAATTATCGCTATGATAAATAGGAATATTATTCTGGTGAGTCAATGCAGCTGGAGCTGCTGAACCTCGGTGCAAAGGACTAAGAACCGCATAAATGAAATGTCCTTCATGACTGGAATCATAACTGCCAATCCCGCCGGAAAGCTTAAACCATTGACATCCAAGAACCAATAAAAAAGCGAACAACCGGTTGACACTGCAAGCATCACATGACTTACGAGTGTCCAGACAAGCATTGTTCAAGTTGTCCGGTAAGAGTATTCCAAATATACACACCGCCATCTTGTCCGCCAGCCACTGCATATTTGGCATCCGGAGAGAAGGAGGGTCGGACAATATCCAAACCAATACGGAACTCCTCGGCGGATAGACGTTGTGTGACTCGTTTCGTACGTAGATTAACCACTTCGACGGTGTTGTTGCGGGTGCACGCAAGCAGTTCTGTACAATCTAGTACAAGTTAAACGAAAGAAACTGTACGGGTAAGGTAATACCATTTACAGATATTTTACCAAAACGGTAATGACATCCAACCTAACCCAGAACGTGGCATCACAAGAAGGTATGAAACAAGTGAGTATACCGAGCACACTGTGCCTAAGCAAAGCTGGGATGAGTACAATGCAGTTCAACCCAGTGGGCTGGTTATGATCCATGCAGTGTAGCACGGGCGATCGAGGTAACTTGACATACGTCACCAAAAGAACGATTATAACAGAGACAAGAGAAGGAATAAAACATTTTTTAAAAGAAATGAATAAGTAAGTCGCCAGATGGAACGTATGCAAGGACGCCGATGTCCCGTGAGATTGCGTTATCCGGCATTCAATCATTGACCTAAAAGCTTCAGCAGTATGCTAGAATGCCGTACCAACGCTTTCTTGCCACGTGACCACCACTAGTCGCGCGACAGCTTGCCATAAACCCTCACATTGCCTGAAGTATGTGGGTAAAGCGCTCTGATGTTCAAGTACTTTTCAGACACAAGTTTCCCAAGTAAACATTCCTAAAGGGCAAAGCAATCAACCGAATCGAAAGCACCTTTGATGTCGAGAAACATGACTACAGTGGCTCACCGATAAATATGACGGTGCTCCAATACAGCCGTGACTGAGACGAAACCCGGTATGCTCCTCGTGAATCTGGTTTTCACGGGTGCCAGTTAGTCTATGACGAACGACAAAAGCGAGCATCACAGAGACAATTGGAATCAGACGGATCCTTCTAAGAGTGCTGCATTCAGAACGCAAGCCCCCTTGAAAACTGGGACTATTATGGAGTGCCTCCAGTACAGTACAGTTTCTTGCTTCCACAGCTTGTGACGGTCATCTACAATAGCAGGTCCTTCGAATTTGAAGAGCGCTGGAGGAATTCTATCCGCACATGTAATCTTAGTTACTTGCAACTGTGATCTCACATAATTCTGCGCGTGAAGGCGGGTAAAATAGGACAGCCCGAAAAGAAGATAGTTCAATGGTCGATGGAGAAACTGGTAACTCTAGTTGATTAAGCTGCTTTTCGAAGTGTTCGGCACAACGCTCCAAGTGTTTTGACAAACTGTGGATCGGCCGTCCACCCTCGTCATGTATGGTCTCGCTAACACCAGGCCTCCTTCCGTCCGTTTCCCATGTCAAAAAGAATAAGTCCCGATGGTTACCAAGAACATCGGTCATTTCCATCTCCGATGGACGATGAGAAAAACCAGGCTTCCCAGCCTTTCTTCAGGCTTGCATGTAGTTTTGCCCTGAGGTCCTTGCGAGTCTCGTTGTGTTCGCTTCCAGCCGGAACAGGAGGGCTGTTCAAAAAGAAACGGAACTTTGCTACAACATTTTTATTTCTCATTGCACAACATGTTAAGCACTTCATCCTCAAAGTAGCCCTCTCTACTGGCAATACACCGTTCCCAAGGGTGCTTACATTTTTAGAAAGTCTGCTGAAACGCACATTCTGGGATGGCGCGCAGGTCTCTTGTCCTGAATATCCTCTACGGTTTGGAAACGACATCCTTTCAATGTGATTTTAAGTCTGCAGGGGCTAGATCCGGAGAATATGGTGGATGGAGCACAATGGAAGTGTGATGTTTTGCTAGATAGCTGCGGAATAGGAGCGATACGTGAGCCGGTGCGTGGTCATGATGCGACATCCAAGTCTAGTTTTCTCACAGGTAAAGGCCTCTTCCTGCGCACAGCATCCCACAAACGCGCTACAATTTGATGGCTTGATCCAACACTGACGCCCATTTCGTCAGCAACTTCTCGAACCGTTAAACGACGATTTCCACGGAACACAGCAAGAACTCTCTCCCCATGATTATCGTCTGTTCAAGTGGAAAGTCATCCAGACTTGGGATCGTTACCGACCGACATTCTACCGTGCTTAGAACATTTGAACTACTCATAGCACTGCGTGCGACTTATACAGTCCTCCTGTTAGGGAGCTGGCTACTTAACCTTCAGTTTCATGAATTATGTTAGTTGCCTATTTCTTTGTTTGCGCAGTTACCTGCTTCTCTGCTACATTTTGGACACGCCGCTTTCCTCAGCCTCATTCGCAATCGCTCACAGCTAATTTCAGCCGTCTCATGCTGTGGACATTCTGATTGGTTTCTTTTGCTCAGCGTTCCTTAGCTTTTTCACGTGGATATATTATTCAGCCGACACATATTTATTATACCTGTTTTTATTTTCCTGGTGTGTATCACCTTCACTATCAACTGTTCTGGCATTTGTTTAAACGCATCACTTCTCCACACTGATTGGACGCTACTCGTCGTTTTTAATGGTCGCTCACCAGAAGGTTACCCCCAGGGATTAACTCCGCAGACACTATTTTCTTTGCCGCACTTCATTGGCTCGTAATTTTCGCGATTCTCATTTGCTTGTTCCATTTTGTGTTTTCTCCATACCTGTTGGATCTCATGCGTTTAGTAGCTTGGATTCGCCCTTGTTTGTAAGGCTATATAACTGGTGCCGCGCTGTAATAGAAAATCTGTTCATCCCGGCTCATCTTGGACTTCTTCTTGCGGTCGTGGGGTGAAGGCGTACTGGGTATCACAACAATTCCTCGTGGGGTTGGCTAAGCAATTAAAAGGTCTGTAAAGGTATTGTCAAGTTTGTAGCAAACTTTAACAAACACGCGTTGTTCTTTAAGTTCTCTCATTGTCTCCTTGGCACAAATACAACCAACAGCTTGTGCAGGTACTCACTTCAGCGGCTGTAGCTCCCCAACCTACGGTAAGAGAGAAATGTGTCAAATGGCAGCTTGTTGAGGAAGCAAGCCGCAGCGCGCTGCCACTGCCAGTTGCAGCGCTATTGCAAAAGTTCGGTTTCGTTTTGTACACCCCCCCCGTACGTCGGCGAGCACACTGAAGTTCCAGAGTTGGCAATTTGATGTGCCATATGAAAACATGTCTGCTGCTAATAACGTCCGGTGAATAGGTGACCAGTGGCCCTCTACTGTGTTCAGAGAGCGCTTACTCAGCTCGGATGCCAGCGTACATACACAGAACATTTGGCTTCGTCAGCTTGCACCTATCTATGGGCTCACAGACTCCGCATGCGCCCACCGTAGTGCACGGTACAATGGGCACAAACGACTGTGTGATCAGAGTCCGCGCTCTTGCCTCAAATTGAGCGACATTTTTGGACACAAGTTCTCCAACGGTAGCTGATCGCGATGTGACCGACTTTTGTCAATGGCTGATTTGAGGCGGGTGGGCGCCAGGTCACCTTTCAGTGAGTGCTGTGTCGGAAGTTAACGCTCGCGAGAAATATACCAACATCTTCACACAGATGTAGCAACCCCTACATCGTGAAATCCGCCCATATGCAACTCATCAGTGAGCAGTTTTCCACCATCGGCGTCCAGATTGCCAGCCAGCACTACAGTAGCCGTAGTTTTTCTGTAACGAAGGAGTACTTTCAGGTGATAGAATTCACCATTCATCGAATCAGCGCTACAGTTTGTGAGAGCGTATGCAGCAGTGACAAACAAACATCGTTTGCCTACGCGCGACTCTGAAGCTCCGAGCGAGCCAGCCAATGTGATGGCGCACGCGCGGCTGCGCATTGAGATCCAGTTAACCAGGCCAGCTTTAGCCCGGGGACTCGTATTTGAGGCTGCGTTATCTCCAGTTAAACGAAATGAGGACATGCCGTCAGTGTCGCATGTGGGGAATGGATCGCAGGGTAATCACGGAACTCGCATCTTGCAGGCGGGTTTCTGATAAGCAGCAAATGTTGGTCGATAGGGTCTCTCTAGTGTTCAAGAAAGTGGTGTCTGTTGACCAATGTGCAACAAAGAGCGCACGTTGAAGCATCTTAGTCTTAGCGAGGATCGAGGTCTCCAAAGAGAAACTGGTGAATCGACATTGTCCGCTTGGTTGAACATGAACTTGTCGACTGGACTGGAGCGAAGCCCTGCGATTGCGTACGAGTTGAAAATGGAAGACAAGCGACCATTGAAGTAAGATGGGAGAGGGACAAGAATTGGAGGATTGAAAAGAGGGGTATAAAAAGTGAATTTGAAGCGGGACGATAAGATTGAAAGACCGCAAGAGGGGAGTAAGAAGACGGGAAGGCTTGAGCAGTAGCATCCTTACTCCTATCAACCCAGTTCGATGCAGCAGATAGGGCGCCGATTGTTATCTTCTGTGACGGACAGAGGATCAGAAAAGCATGTGGGTAAAATTTCGTAGAATCGTATTGCGCAGGCAGTATACCCCGCAAGGCAGCGGGGTTGTGATGCTGGGATACAAAGTCCATTTTATAGGGTAAGGAGCCACCCGCACTCCAACCCCAGTACCCTACTGTGAGACGGGGTTAAAATTTATCAGTCTCTCCATCAATTAGTACAGCCATTGGCGGGAGTCCAGCTGAAAAGCAATGCAACAGTACTTGGGGCAAGATCTCTGCTTTGTTCCATTCCAAACTGTGTCCTTCGTCCACGTGTGCCGAGAATAGTGAGGTTGCATAATGTCTTTCGCATACTCTTTTGTGTTCCTGTAAAATTTTCTTCCTGCATGACTTACATAGCGCTTATCACAAATTATGTAATGTGTATTTTGTGCACATTTCACACTCTCTATCTGATTTTGACAATACTCCTCCCAAAGTGGTAAGTAGCTTGTAGGTCACCACGACGATATGCTAATCGATACTGTCCCCCTGTGGCCAATGAGACTTAGTCACTGGAGATAAAAAATAAGACAGGTGTGATGCTAATGAGGAAAGAGCCGCCGATCGCTTTGCAAGACGTGATGGCTAGCTGATGGGATACAATTGTGATAAGTTCAACAGAACATGGTGTTGCCCAGTTTATATTGCAAATCAGACGCTTTACCCAAGCCAATGAGAGAGTGAGTGCAAGGTGCCATAACTATGTGCAAAATGAGGTCATTGTTGGCAAAAGATTGGAAGGAAGCCCTATGGACAAAACGACGCGGGACAGTACAACTAGCACCAACATGGGGATGCAATTTATGCCCGGAAAACACCGGGTACGAGAAAGACCCTATTGTGACTAAAATCAGTAGCATAAGTTGGAAAAGAACAAATACATACCCGTAGAGATATCTAATCCGGTTATGCGCGCAGACAACTCTATGACGTCGATGCTAGTTCCAGTGCGTTCGTCCCATAGTCGAATATTGTGATCGAAATGCCCAGTGGCAACAGCCCCAGTGGGCGCGACAACGACCACATCTTGGGGAGCAGATCCAGCGAGAATAGTTCGTTTGCACTGGCACCGATCGATGTCCCATAGCTGAAATCACAAGCACGTGCCAGGCAAAACGTCAAAGCGATATGCACTCAGAACAGAATGAAACGGTCGAAATTATGCTGAAGCGATGGTGCTACAGAAGAATCAAAGAATGTTTGAATAAAAACTATGAACAGCAGTCTAGCGAAGGGAGACAGTGATTCTTAACGTGGTGCAGCGCTTCCCGTGCCGCAATGAGCCACGCTGGGTGGCACATTTAAGGCGCTGTCAGAGACACGCAGATCATAAGTCAATGGTTAGGGGTCATATATAAACAACTTCAGACCAGTACAATCATATGTAAGGGTACAGGAAAGAAATAAACTTGACCCACTAGCTCAAATTGCACAGTTTATTTGCGGTTCAGTGTGGGATGCTAAAAGCTAATCTTTAATCTACCAAGCCGATTGCATAGTTCCGAGAATGATGCCGAGGTCGACTGCCACAAATCAAGCTCCGAACTATACAATCGACCTGTCAGGTCAAAGATCACCTTTTAGTCTCCCACACTGAAACGCAAATGGACGGTGTAATTTGAGCTAATGGGTCAAGTTTATTTCTTTCATTTACCATTAAATATGATTGTACTGGTCTGAAGATGAATCATCGGAAACAACTGTTCAGCTATTGTCTCGTGTTTTCGAATTCTAAATGGGAATTTTTAATTTGGTTAGCGGTCAGTCAAACTCGGTCCCAGCACACTCTTTACCTAAGATTGAGAAGTCAATAACTCTGCTCTACTACAGCTTACTAACGTTATACAATAACGTACGGAGTATAAGCTAAATCCGATTGGTGTAGATTACAAGCTCAGAGAGCTGTATTTGCTCAGTGAATTGTTAGAGCCCATCCAAGTCGGTATATGATCGATAAGATGCAGGTTCGATAAGAAGCACACACAGCTAACGTGTAATACGCTGCGGTCGAGGAACATACATGAACAATTTTAACTCTTCCATTGCGGATTTCGGACAGATCCAGATGAGACCCCAGCCAAATTCTCCAGCTAGACCTGCGTCTCACTGTCATATTAGTTAGGCCATTGAAGAAGATGCAGTAAATAGAGAAACCCAAGTAGACTTCTAGTTATCCAGCTACCTTTCAGTTCGCACCAGCGAACCAAAGGATGAAGATAGTAAGGCGTTATCACCAGTGCGCGCTCATCCATATCAGTTTCATCCTCTTCTCAAAAGTCCCCATCTCAGAACAACCAGCATTGGAATAAGTCAAATCAGTAAATTGTTTTATGCTCCTAGAACGAGTGAATATCCAGGTGCAATGACTTCGCAAGCGATGAGCACCTTTGGCCGTACATAGTTGTCGGCACGGCAAAGAATCGACGTCAGTGAGCTATGCGTTGTCAGTTCTTCGTCCCTTTACATCTCAGCTAGCCTCCCCCTCCAAATACGATCTTGGCATTAACGTATAACGTAAGACAAAGCAAAAAAGGCATCAGCATTACTCCGGTATTGTAGTTAACGCTTGGTCAACAAACAACTGGCGGAGTGTCACAACACATGAGTAAAAACGACAAAAGGGACAGGGGAACAGTCAGCGAAAACGTTATGAGGGTTCGTGTGTTGCGTTGGCTTACCAGGTTGCCCCGGCCGAGGAAGAGGGTTGATTTAAGGGACCTCACGACAAGCCTTTGTTTTTAAAGACCTGAGCCACAAAGCAGCGGGGTGATTCACGCAGGTTTCTGAATACGGAGACTGTTGTGACAGCCAAGTGGATCATGTGCCTACTTCATGTTCGGCAGCAATCCGCACAGAAGCCGGTGCCCAGCAAGGTTGTTCATCCGCCTTTGGGTACAGCAGTGAGTGATCAGTGACCCTATGGCCGGTCACATTGGCTTTGAAACAGCGCTGGTACGCAGTGCCGACGTTTCGCGGCCGCTCAACCACCACCAGTCGCACGTAGACTAGGGATACTGCGAGGGTAGCCCGGTCACCTATGCAGGCTCGAACCAGCGCTCTCGAATTACAAGGCAGGCTTGTGATCCTTAAGGCTACGGGTCGCCATGGCTGATATCTAATTGCGGGATGGCGCGGCTCATCCTTCATTGGCATGTAGGTTATAAATGTGCAGAGGACAGGGTTGGCTCCCAGAGCTAGTTCTTTTGCAGGTAGCCACTTCACCGAATTGTACTGCGGCACAGTAGCTGGGGTGTTTCGCACCCAGTAGTGATTTGCAGAAGGAATGAATTAATGCAAAGTTGGACTTGGAGAATCCGCTGGTGGTTGAGTTGCTACAAGCAACCTCTATTGAGACCTCGGTTCACTTGAGGTGGACCTCGGTCATTCCGAGCAAAAAGACCGTAAGTAAAATGGAAACATTCTAGTGTTGCTCATCCCAACACTGGCACCCCAAGACCGCGGTTTCGTCCTGGTTGGGACTCATCAGTTGGAGATAGCCTGAGTTGGGCTGCAACTCAGAGCCTAGTGGCTCATGGTTGACTCCATAAGCACTATGCCGCTGAGATCCGCGAGCAACGCTCGGTCCAGCAGAAACGAGTGAGTTAATATATAAGTGCGGGGGTCTGGGTCTTCTGACAATAATTGTATGGCGGTTGAGACTCTGTTGGGAACGAGTTGGTGGTTTGGAGTATCCGCATCGGTATTAACATCAGCAAAAACACCAAAATAGTCTATTGGAATGGAACCCAATGAATATCAGTAAAACGACGTCCAGCGCACAATATATTAACGAATTCGTACGATTTGCTCATAAACTAGCATAAGTTGGACCCAGAGCAGCAATCATTAATCGGTGCCTGAAAACTGCAACAAATCTTGCACTACTACACTGACGTAGGTTGCAAAGTTTTCTATGGTAGATAAAGTCAGCATAGGTTCTATTATGAGTGATAAAGAATGTCGAGGCAATTTGAAGCAGAAAACTGGCAGATGTATCATTGACTGGTGATGGCATCACAAGGTGGCTGACATAAAACAACCAATTGAAACACGCAACTAAATCATTTGATCTAAGTAGCAGCCGTATACCAGGAAGGCAAACACCCATGACAAGGGAAATATGAGTGAGAAGTGTAGCTTGTAGAAATGAGACTTTGGGGAATCATAATAGTTCGCAAGATGAACAAACGCTGGGTGAACGAAATTGTGAAGAGCAGCATGTGAACAGTGAACGAAAGAAAGAGAATCTAAAGACATTCAAAGGTTAAATGTACGCTAGCATTGTGACATCAGATTGCGCTGTAAATTCACCGGACGAACAGAAAGTGGAGGTACAATAGTCATATTCATCAGCACAAAGTTATACAAAGGCATTAGCAGTACGCCGGCATTATACACACTGATGCCCTTCTGTGTTGCGACGAAAAGCAAACGCATACGGGTTTGGATAATGCTACGGCGCCAAAATTTATGGGGGAAGCAACGACGCGAAGCTGAGGCATAGTAAGCATAATGCCCCTAAAAAATAAGTCCAAATGATAAAGAACAAGATCAATGAGACGAAGGAGAAATAACGGGTATGTACATGAGCGCGACGCAAATAACAAACCAGAAAAGGCAAAAAATTACCTTGATTGTCCTGTCTGAGGAAACAGTGACCGCACGTTTGTTGCTTCCCATAAACTTGGCCGATACTACCCGTTCTGAGTGTCCAGTCAAGTTTACTCGCAAGCGAGAATCATTAAGGGTCCAAACTCGACAGGAGAAATCGCTGGATGCCCCAAGTACGGAGGTTTCCTACACAAGAAAATGCAACCACGAGAGGATAGCAATGTTATTTGAGATGTGAAGAAATAAAACATTTAGTTTCGTCTTTGGGGAACCTACATTAGGGTCAAAATCGATCGCAGTTATTGCAGCATTACAGCCGACCAGGGTAGATCGCAACTGACAGGTACCTGAAAAACATGGACAAGAAAACATCAATGGAAATTGTCTATCCGCTCTGTCAGTCAGTGGTCATTTTAAATTCTTGTGTCTACCATGTAAATGAGCAGCAAGGCAGGAGAGATTCGTAAACTAGTATGTCCTGAGAGTATGTGAGCTGATATAAGTGTAGTGTCAGATGATGGATGGTGTAGATGAGTGAAAATGGAATGGTGCAAACCTAACATGTGGAACAATTACATCCAGCAATAACTCAATCGATGTGCATCTAGGTAGAGTAATCAAAGTGGGTTTCTTTCGTGTAAACCAGCATTACAAACCAAACGGAAAGTGCAATGAACCGGAGAGCAAAACTAGAAAATCAGAGAGATAAAATAGAAATAGCATGAATATTATAGGCCAATATCCAAATGTTCGGTGCAGTGCAAAGAAAGTGATGCTGGGCAGCTCAAGCGGTTCCAAGTAGTGGTAATCAATACCTAAGAAGTGCATGGTGAAAAGAGTAAATCCAGATCTAGAAAAAAGCACAGTCTGTTAAAAAAAGGATCTGGTGTAAACAACAAGTGCATAATCGGAAAAAATAAACACGTAGAAATGAACAAGTTCAATAAGCGCAGAGATAACTTAGCGAAAACAATGCAACGCACTGTGCGCTTATCATGGCAGAAAGTCAGTGCAACATCCATAGCAAAAGCTTGTGAGTAGGGTCACAAACATCAACACAACAGAAGCACATCAGTGATTGGAAATAGTGCTTCGCTGCTGTACAACCACAATGGCCCGTAGCCTGAAGGTAACGAGCTTGTCTTGTAATCCGACGGTGCGGATTCGAGTCTGTGTAGGGGCAGGGCGACCCTCGCAGTATCCCTAGCCCACGTGTGGCCGGTGGTGGTTGCGCGACAACGAAGCGTCGGTACTGCGTACCGGCGTACTGCTGATGCCTGTTGGAGTGGGAAATAGTAGGGGTAGGTACAACTTAAATATCTTAGGCGAACATCCAGGATCAAGATGCCTACAGCTTGTCAACAACACACGGTCACGAACAGCTGGGTATCGTGTGAAGATAAGGCAGTATCGGTGAGAAAGTTTCCTTGCGATTCTTAATGCCCCGTGTCGTAAACAGCCATTACTCCGTAGACAGTTCAGCAACAAACAAAATTTAGACAGGCAATCTGATTAAGAGACGACAGCAAACCCGCTATTGGTGCCGAATGCGTGCTATGTCTTGTAAAGTCTCGAGTCAAGCACAACGCGAGTCACGTGGACTATGGCCTAAAAGTAGAAACAGATCGACTATACTCAGCTTAGTAGTTAGCGACTACATTCCCCACCTCAAGTCTTGGCCCATCCAACATCCGGGAAGTAAAACAAGACTATCATGGACAAGTGGTGACCAGATATACCCAGCTGTAGCATCCACTGTTTTGAAACCTGGCCCATTAGATCAGCGGACATAAAGAGGGTAGTTAAGTTCGACCACCGATGCCTTCCCAGTTTGACTCATATCTGGTGGGAACACCAAGGGAGCAATGAACGTGTTCGACGCCTTGTTTATGACACAGGAAGTAGTGAACTCCACAACACCGTTATCTGAGGCACCACGCTCCGATGGCTCGACCGCGTGTTGCGCATGCCAGTCCACGGACTCCCGCGACATGCGTTGTCTGCGCTCCGGGGGGTTGGATGGAAGAAGAGGAAGGGTATCCAAGCGATGACTTGGTCAAAAGGAATGAAGGCCATTACTTCGAAGTTGGCCTCGCTTGGAGCCTCTCGAGCTCCTTGGTTGGGGACCGAAGGACGATGAACACGTTTGGCTGGATACACATGTTGATCTAGCTAGGAGCCGACTTCAGTGGTGTTTATGTTATGAGTTTATTTGTCCGTCTCCCTACCGCTAATCCTCTCCTCCAAACACGATCTCATTTATTAGGCATACTGTGACTCTTGCGGCACAACAACCGGCTGTTAGCTACCTGGAACGATGTCCACCAATTTCTAGTGACACAGCTGGCGTGCCCCTGTTGCATGTTTTTTCTTCTTTTTTGTATTGCGGCACAATTGCTGAGGTATTTTCCACCTTTAGCTAACGAGTATAATGATACTGAATGATGATGTACACAGCACATGCCCAAGCCATCCTAATGTTTGCAACAAAAAAGTTAACCTTTAAAATTGCGCGACGGCCGGTGCAGAGTGTAGATTGAAGGTGAATACAAACTCATTGATTCATGGTTGCACGTGGATTAGAACATTGTCCGAGCGATATAACTGATAAAGGAGGAGGATAAAGGTATTCAACGAAGTCTAACTGTAAGGCAACGACGAGATGGCAACGATCCGGCTTCTATAGAAATGAGCGCCATCCCATCTCTAACCCCCAACTTGGAGGGCTGGAAGACTGAGTTTATCTAACCCCTAACCACTGAATAATGTGAGAAAATTAGCTCTTAAAGGAAGGGGGTGAGAATCTAAGACAACTTCATGGATCGATAAGGTACGCAAACCATCGCACGATGTTAAGGTCCAGTCACGTGGCGACAGGAGTGGTGTCAGCGAGAAGAGGGTCAACAAGGTAAAATCACACCCAAAGCGAAATAATTGGTCAGTTAGCGGCTAGAATATAAACGAGTCCGTGGTAGAATCTACTAAAGGACTTATGAGAAGTGCAGTAAGCGATACCCAGTGCTGGCTTACTATGACATCTGGAATATTGCACCTCATTACCTTTTAACTATAAGCGCACTGATCTTCGATGGAATTAGACGGTTGTTGCCATGCATGAGGCAACGACTTCTATTTCGTTGTCACTCTTTGTCAGTACAATGGGAACTTGGGATCGGGAAGATTAGTGGACCAGCCGGAACGCACCAGAAAAATCTCTGGCTGCACTGTGCAATAAAATCAGATAAGGTCGCTCGCTCCCAGAGGCTGTAAGACCTGAATGTTATGCACACGCTGCTCACAGCTAGTCAAAAGCAGGTCTAAGCACGATGGAGTCGCGCGCGCAGTAATGCGTGTCGGTTGGTTGATGTGCTGTGTGGCCCCGGTTTCAAATAGCAACTCCGTAAACTTCCTCTCGACTTCACAGTGGCAGGGGAGAAGTTCAGCTTCAGGCCACAGTATTTGGGGCAAGTTGAAATCGCCTATGAGTAGGAACATCTGACGACTCATGTGGTTGCGGACATGCGGTAACCAGTCCAAACACCGGCTCAGTGGACTGCGATATACCACGCCCACGAGCAACTCGCAGCGTCTGAGGTGAATCGAACACCATTACTGCTCACATAGACCATCAGCGGTTTGGTAGGCGCTCACTAGTCTCCCACACAAGGAAGACTATGTAAAGTAGAACGCCACCGCGATCAGTTGATGGTCTATCACAGTGGAAGCATGAGTAGTCGGTGATTTGCACTTCTTGGGCGGTTACCTCGGAGTTTAACCATGTCTCAGCAAGGCCTAATACGTCTGGTCGCTGAGAGCTTACAAAGTCGTACAGCACATCGCGTTTGTTCAAGGTACCGGACGAAAACCAAAAATAGCAATACGAGAGTTTAAAGAAACTTGGTAAATTCAAAAGTCTCAGGAAATGAAGAAGGCAGTGACGGTGAGTAACTTTCGCAAAATGTTCCGACTGATTCGTTCCACCAGAGGAAGGAACAAATGCGCTAGTTAGGCAGACAATGACAACAAGGATACCACGATTCAAAAAAGATCATTCGATTGAATAAACAAAGCACTCACAGTAGCAACTAAGTTAACTCTGACCCAACATGCTTGTGTTTGCCTGTGAAGGAGTGTGGGCCGGCTTCGCTGATCAAACGTGGCTCCCATCCACATGCCTCCCGACCTTATTCCTCCGGGTTTACACTGGATATGGGGTGTGTGGTTGGAGTTGTAGGTGGTGCAGCGGTAGGCACCCATGGTCCCTCTATAGAAGCAGGCGTCCTGTGGCTGTCATATGGAAGCCGCAGTGACAAGCAAATCAGTAACCGGATGCCGCCACCCATATATATATATATATATATATATATATATATATATATATATATATATATATATATATATATATATATGCACGCGGTTGGATTGAGAAAGAGATGTTTCCTAAGTTGAAGGAGGCAGTTGTGTTCCCACTGTACAAGGGCAAAGGAGGCAAGAAATGCACCACATGGTAACAACTTGCTGAGCTGTGTGGGCAAGGAGATTGCCCGAATCTCACTCAATCACCTAGTCGGTCAGGCTGTGGAACCGAACGTGGCGGAAGAGAAATATGAATTGCGTTGGGGTCAACTGACCAATAGCTAGACAGTGTTTCGTATCCGCGTCTCGAAGGCAGCAGCGGCACTCGGGAAGCTAGAATACCGAGTGTGGAACAACCATAAGTTTACCGTTGACAAGAAAGCTGATGGTGTACAAATCCATGGCATTGAAATGTGGACGATGTACAGTCGGGATAGGCACAATATCTCGAGCGGTTTCATAAACAGTGTTCACGACGGATTCTGCGCATTGGTTGGTGCGACGGAATTGCAGCTACGGAGGTGTTGCGCCGAAGTGGAATGAATGCAGTGGACTGCATACTATTGATGAGACACGAGGTGGCACGGCCATGTGTGGCGTATGGATTCGACGCGGATACCGAAACATCTGTTGTATGGCCAAATGAGTGCAGGAAAGCGGTATGTGGGGAAACCGAAGTCACCTTAGCAGGACATGATCAAAGTGAGCTTATCACTTGTTAATGTTGATTACGGGTGTTCGAAATCGAAAGCGGATGACCGGCGTGCATGGCACAATCCGATCACGGAGGCAACTGCTGAGGTGCTGGAGAAAGTCCTAGTGCATGCGAGAAAGAAGCGGCAAGTGCGGAAGCGTCAGGCGACGATGGCCTGTACTCCATCGACGTAACGCGTATGGTGTTGTAGCACATGCGGTCGCGAGTGTCGGAGTCAGGCAGGTCTAGTTAACCACCAGCGAGGCCACTCGCGACCAACATCGAAAAGACGACGGG